TGTTCATTTTCAGATAGTATACAATTGCCATCATTTTGGTGTTTATTCAGTATATTAAAGTATGGTCACCAAGCCACAAGTCACAGCTCAGAAGGTTTTTACTGGACTTGGAAAGAAGAGCTGCTTCCTGAGATGCAGTATATATCTGTATTGTTATTTTCATTAGTACATGTTTGCAGTACATAATGATTACATGTATCACGGGGAATTGGTGCATGTACACAACACATCTTAATTCTTTCATGCCCCCACCCCATCTCTTAGTCATCTTCCTATTTGCAAATGATCTATAGTAATCTTGAATCTGTGATAGATTGAGAATCAGTTTTTATATTAGAATTCAATATGGCTGCATGTAACAAGACCTTCTGTGTTATGACTTGTATCTAGATGTCCCCCCAAAGCCTCTTGCAGTTATAAGTGACGCTTTTCAGAGGTGTCTTGATCTAGAGTGTGTGACACTGGGATTGATTCATGGTGTAATACTAGGATTAAGGGTGTGAGTGCTACTAGCCCTAAGGAGGGGTAGCCTGGATAAGATATAAGGGACAGAAAGAGGCTTGTCTTGTCACTTGCTTTTGCTGTCTTCTGCCTGCCATTGACTGTTTCTCCTCTGTAATGCCGTTCTGCCTTGGTGCCAGCCAGTTATGGACTGAAACCTGTACAAACTGTGAGCCAAAAATAAACCTTTCCTCTTTTAATTTTGGGTGTCAGGTATTTTGTCTCAGCAAGAAAAAGTAGCTAAAACAACTTAAGAGACATCCTCCCCCATAAACTTAGAGACCTAGAGCTAGTCTTTCCCAGATTCCTGGTGCCCTCAGAAATCTGTGTGCCTTCTGTCTCTGTCCTTTGCAGTCCTTAGAGCAGAGCTTTTGCTGTATCCCCACCTCTGGCAAGCAATCTGTGTTCCTGGGAAGAAAAGTAAAGGCAAAAGAGCAAATCAGCTGCATTTACCTCTGCTCTTAAAGAGCTTTCCTAAAATCAGACCCAGAAACTTTTTACATCTCATTGGCCAAAACTGCATCTCGTGGTTATCCCTAGGTGCAAGAGAAAGAGAATAGAAAATAAAATTTTTTCTTATCTAAGTGCACGTTATTACCCAAACAGAATCAGGATAGTATTATCAGGAAGAAAGGGAGACATGCTGGTTTCCAAGCAAGTCTCCTAAGCAATGGGTTCTCCTAACTTAGCTTTGTTGCTTGAAATAAACTTTAATCTTTTATTAAACATCGGTGTATAAGGTACTACCATAAAATTTGCATCTAGAAGGTAAATTTATTTTTGAGTGGGATCAGCAGAAATTATACTTGTATTAACATGGCTGAATGTGAGGTAGACACAAATAACATATTAGGTACTATTCAAACATCAGAGGATAGTCTTGCTGCAAGATTACACCTATATGTAAATATACATTTGTACATTTTCTTTATAGGAATTTAGTTGTTACTAAAAAAATTAATATTTGGCATATTGGATTTTTTTCATTCATGGAGCAAATGTTTACTAAGCACCTGGCCATTCCACAAGGCCCTGTGGGTGGAATAAAAACTGAACATATACAAATCCAGCCATTTCTAGTGTGTTATTGCAAGAAGGGAGGAAAAGTACATATGTAAGTGGCTGCAAGTAAAGCAAAGTAGAAGGTACTAACTGTAAGAGACAGACAAATGCATCTTTAAAAGCATTTAGAAGAGGAAAGGGTAATTGCTGCCAGAGTTTACCTTCACAGCTAGTGAGCACCATCATAAGACTAGAAAAATATGTTGAAAACATACATCACCAACTAGCATTCACGAATAATTACTGATAGGTAGACTTACATGTCATCCCATCCTTCGGTTCATTTATAAACTAAAGTAGAAGTTTGGGGTGGAATGGAGCATTTGTTGAGTGTCTGTTGTGTGCCCAATATTCTGTTTCAAGAAACCCGTACTGAATGCCAGCTCTAGACCTTCATTTAATCCCCAGCAGTCCAGCAAAGTAGTTATAATATGTTCTTTATGAGAAAACTGAAGCTCAGCGAGGTTAAGTAACTTGGAAAGATTGCCCAGCTCTGAGTAACAAGCCCCACATCTGAGCCTAGGCGCATTGGACTGAAAAGTCCTGTTCTTCTCCACTTACCTGCGTCCCACTGCCTTTCACTGATGAGCTCATCTGGCTCCATGGCCAGTGGTGAGCTGTCAGTTCCTTCTTCAGCCCCCTCTAATAGGGGACCTGCACCCAGCTGATTGAGACTTGGGCTTCCTGGGAATATTTTGAATTGCTCTCAGAGCGTTTGTTAGCTGCTTTAGTGTTATTAGAACTTGACAGCCTTTTTTTGGTCTTTTTTAATAATTTATTTTTGTAATAATTACACACACTCTGTACAAATTAAAAAGATACAAATGATATGTCATAAATATTCGCAGTGGTCTTCTTCCTACCTTGCCCCCTGGCTAACCAATTCTTCTCCAGGGAAATTACCAAGTGTTTTGGATATCCTTCCAGCATTGTTCTATGCAAATACTAACATGTGCATTTGTATACGTAGATGTGTTTTCTTTTTATTTACACAAATAAGGGCTTTTAGACTCACTGTTTTAAACTTGCTCCTGTTACTTATTTATTTGTACGTAGATATTCTTTTTGTACTTAGATTTCCCAGAAAGACTTTTTTAAAGGAAAAGAAAAACTTGATAAATTTGGAAATGTTTATGGTTAAGTCACTTCTACGGTAACATTATTGACAAGATGGTTTTACCAATGGCAGTTCTCTTGCAGCATTAGCTTATAGACCTCAATAAAGAATATTTTTATTTCAAACAGTCCTTTACTGATAATAGTGTTTTTTTTCCCCTCTGGTACTACCTACCCAGTGAAATTGTTTATGGATGGTCCAACAGAGCCCTTACTCCGTTATCTTTCGGGCCTCGTTTTTGTCTTCTCACTTTGTATCCAGTATTGCGGTTAGAGTTCTCAGTAGTGCTTCTTCAGCCTTCGTGCCGAGTTCTGCTGTTCACTCCCTCTCAAGTAAGGCTTCTCGCAAACACCTAACAGCTAAGAGCGCTCATTAGGGTACAGTGGTGAAAGTGAAAAAGAGCAGCCTTTCGGAGCCCATTCCTGCCGCCCTCCTTTCTTCTAGTCAAGTCTCTCTCCCAAATTCTGAGGCCCTCAGATATGGAAACAGCAGGTGAAAAGAAGGGGTTTGTTTCAGAGCCAGTCCCAGAAGTCTGGCCTCTTACCGGACGCATGGAAGGCTGGCTGGAGCAGCAGGGCTCTTGGTGCTTGGGGACCATGGTACACCGTGGGACACACCATGGGACACCTTCCCGCGCGTACAGACTTGCTTCTCTCTGACGTCATCCCTCTTGCAGGGTCAGAGAGACTGAGGAGAACTCCTAGCTCTCATGTGTTCCTCCTTCAGGTACTTTTCAGCAGTGGAGAGCATCTCGGTTGGACTGATCAGCTCAGGAGCGTGCAGACCCTCTCCCCTGCCGTCCCTTTGTTCTTTGTCAAGAGTCTCTCGGTCATGCACATTACCTCCACCTTCGCACCTAGATTCCCGCTCTTATCTGCCCAGCCGGGACCCATGGACTTGCTCCTCAGAAATTAGACATCCCAAGGCATGAGTAGAGAAGAGTTGGTTGACATTTTTCTAAAACTACCCAGTTCATCTTTTAAGTCTGAAACAATAAAATTCATAAAGGACAAAAATAATACCAGTGAAGTCAGTCTAGACGGTGGATGTTTATTAAGAGCATCAAGCCCAGCCGTGCAGAAATGCCATTTCTACCATCTTTCTTCACGTGTTGTATCTACAAATAAAAGTCAACTTCAGGATATCCTTTTATTTATATTTTTTTTCTCCAGTCCACTCTATCTCTAACTCCTCAGGATATCCTTTTAATAAAAAGTACTACATAGCCAGGCATGGTGGTGCATGCCTGTAATCCCAGCACTTGGGAAACTGAGGCAGGAGGCTCACCAAAAGTTTGAGGCCAGCCTGGACTACTCCAAAAAAAAGTACTATGTATGTTGTCAATTACATTGTTTTTCTTTTAATATGACTTCGCATTTATGTTTTTATAATATGTGCACATTGCAAGTAGTGAAGGACCATTAACAAAATTTGTGACACAGACATACAAAAACTGTTTCTGTATAAACAGTATTTTTAATGAAATAAACAATTTGGAGGAATTTTTAACCATCTATTTGAGGAACTATACTTTCACATCCTTAGTACAGATAGATGTGGCATTTGTGATGTTTAGATGATCTTTTTTCAACCTTTATTTATTTGTAGGCCTACCCCCTAGCAGAAATACCCTTGTGCTGGTCTTGCATTCGAATGTATAGTGACTTGCATTCATGTAGTAATTTTACTTTGAAAGTGTTTTCAAGTGTGTAATCTTACATTAATTTTTAGGCCAGCAAGGTGTCACTATACTAGAATTCCAAAAATAGCCCTGGGACCATGCAGAGCCTGACTTCTGGTTTCTGCTCCAGCCCCTCTCTGCCATCTGTCTATTTACTCGCTGCTCCCTGGCCTGCTCCTCAGTGGCTTCTTCCCTCTCCTCAATCACACAGACTCACTAGAGGAGCTCCCAGCTCTACAGTGGGCTGGAATCTCATTAAGCTTCAAGTCAGTTTTGCTTTGTGCTCCATTTCTACTACTTAACCCCAGTAAGACACATCCATTTAAAAATTGTTGGATGATAGTGAAGGCGACTAAGACTAAGACCAAATACATTTTCAATTCATGCATATGGACCAGCACACTACCTAGGTGCCCAGGTTCCTGGTCCTCTGCACTTTCACAAGACCTTCTCAACCCTGCTTCAAGAGATTCTGCTTCTTTGAATCTATACCTGCACTGGCAAGAGAAGTTTTTCCTAAAAATTACTGTAAGGGTTTCCCTTTTCACTTTGGTCTCTTGAGGATTACAAACTAGTTACACAGAGCAAATGAGTTGTGAAAGGAAACTCCACCGATCATTGTTTTTCTTTTTCTTGTAGGCAATCTTTGGCAGCCAGATACTACCTAACTCTAATTTATGGACAGTGAATAATGGCGCAGGCTGCAGAATTTCAGGTGCCACAGCTAGTGGCCAGAGGACAACCATTCTGCCACAAAAAGTGGTGCCACCTCCAAGTTCTTTCACTTCCCTGGTTCCCAAACCCCCAACCAATCACAAACAAGTGCTCAAAAAGGCCACATCCCAGAGGGCTTCCAAGTAAGTTTGTAATCATTTTCTGTTCAATTTTTTCAATATTCTATCAATTCTGAGCTAGTAATACTCTTTAGTTATGGAGACTCCAAGAACATTTGTCGTGAAATATTGAAAACCAAAACACCTGATGAGGAGCAAAGGCTAACTTTGGCCTCAAGCAAAGGTACAAATTGAAATCACCTGGGGAACAGTTGCAGCGTGGCAGGGCTCTTCCCTGTGGAGGAGCAGGCTCTGTTCTTTGAGATTCCTGGGGTGGCTGTGATGAGAGCAGACTGCAGAGTTCAAGGTCACTGCAGTCAGCTCTGCTGGCCTCTGGCAGGAGCTACAGTCAGTCTACCGAGTAACAGTCCTGAGCTGTGGGCTCACAGAAAGGAAAGAAAAATGGATTCCTCTGTGTATCTTCTCTTGGACATTCTACAGAGCCAGATCATTTCAATTTCATATAAAATTCAGCACACTCCTCCCTAGCCTTGTTTGTTTGTTTACATTTAGCCATTTGAGTGGGAACAGAGGATTGAGATTTCATCTTGAGGATTAATTTTGTTGACAGAAGTCAACAAACTCTGTAGCAACAATACTTCTAGTATCTTCTGTATCCCACCTACTTTATACCAAAAAAGGCATTTCCATGCCTGTATCACATTGTCACAGACCACAGTCCTTCACTGTAGCACCAGCCCTTTTTAAACTGAGCTAGGAAGAAATGGGTAAAGTGGGTTGGGTGTAAGCCCATCTTCAGTTCAAAATCAGGAACCGTTCAAGAGCCAGGGATATAGCTCAGCGGCACAAGTGCCTGCCTGGCAAGTGCTAGGGCCTGAGTTCAATTCCTGGTACAAAAAAAAAAAAAAAAAGGAACCGTTCAGAAAGCCTGGTCAAGGCAGGCGTCTCTACTGTGTGGGCACCTAAGGGTTATTTGTGGATTTCTCTTGCTCTCATTAAGGCTTCTCACTACTTGTCCTTTACAAGATCAATTTTATTTGTAAGAAAGAATCCTAGGACATGGAAAAATGAGTTACTATTTTTTTCCTCTTGGATAGTGAATCAAATTCTGGCTGTGAACTGAAAATAATCCCTTGTGGCTGTTTGAAGCATATTGCTGCCATTATTCATTTACCCAACATATATTTATTCAGTGCCTGCTAAGTACCAAGCACTGTGAAGAATGATTGGGGCTATAATGAGCACAGAACTCTCTGGAGCAGTAGCACAGGGGGATAGGGAGGTTGAAGTTTGTGGTTGAATGCTGGTAGAAAAACAGAAAGGAATCTGTGTGCCCTCTCACCCTAGAAACAGAAGAGTCAAATCCTTAAGGGCTTGAGCCCTTCTGGAGCCAGACTCACATCTCCACTCCACACTTTACTAATTTGACATCTCTGACAAGTTATTCAATCTCTTGGCCTAAGTTTCCTCATTTGCAAAAATGGGACAATGGGAATATTATTTACTAGGTCAGTTGGTAAATGTTAACAGAGCTACTATACATAAAGCACAACAGAGCAAGTCCTGGCACACACAAGAGTTCAGTGAGCCCTCGTCACCACCATATGCATGCTAAAGCCACACTGCCCTCGACAGCTTTGAAAAGCTCACAACTAATGGGAAAATTAATGAGCCAGAAGTGAATGTTCAGTCTGCCAGTGTGCTCCTTTCTTGTGGATTCTCTGATCGTTGCCACTTCCCTGAGCTGGCCCTCAGTGGCCTGTGTAGCAAGCTGCTGGACTGGTGGAGAGGTGGCCTCAGGCAGCAGGACTGGGCATCCAGAGGTGCTGCTTGCGGCCCTGAACTCCCTGCTGGCAGGAGACCTCTGCAGCGTCCTGAGGTGGAATTGCAGCTCTCTGGACAAACTTTGCTTTGGACATTTTTGTGGTTTCTTCTCTGTGACAGGCAGGAGTGTGGGAAAACCGGAAACAGCTCAGCATCAAAAATGCACAGAAGGGGGGAAAAAGCAAAGATTTCTTCAGAATTTCAGAAACATAATCCAAGTATCAAAAGGCATGCTGTGAGGCGATGTTCCAGGAAATAGTTTCCAATTTGCCTTTAAAACTCTAGCACAAATCTGCAGATCTGAAGTTAACACCAATGAAGACTTTAACATTCTCTCACTTACATGTAAAATGTCCAGGGTCAGGATGGCCCCACAAATATTTTCGAATATTCTTCTTTCAGAAAAATTAATAGCATCTGAATTGACTCCATGGCAAAAGAAAACTCCTGCTATGAAATATCAAGTTTTTAAAAGTAAACTTTATTTTATGTTAGTTTTATCTTTTTTTTTATTTTAAAGAGAAAAGAATAAAAACAAAATAGCAGACAAAAACAAAACAACATAAAAACTATAAAAATGATACAGAATTTCAAAACAAGATGACAGGAAATCAGCAATGGTTGTTGTATTACTTATTATTATCTTCAAAGTAGTTGTTCAGATTACCAGATATGGGCATGCAAGATTGATCAAACAATTAAATATTAACTGTTCTTTCAATAAACCAATAGAAATTAGTAGTATAATTATCTTAGCTATCTTATCTATATATATACATATATTTTTTCCTTTCCTTCTTTCTTTTCTCCTTTCCCTCATCCCAGTTGTTCTTTCCTATTGAGCAGTTTCTTTCTCTTTCACGGTATCTATTGTACCTTTCAGATTTTATTTATGCTTTGAGGTTCTTAAACTAGGGAGACAATAGCGTGTTTACACATGTGGGTCTGGTTTATTTCACTTATGAGTATGGTCTCTAATTGCATCCATTTACCTATAAAAGCCTTGAGTTTATCTTTCTTTATAGCTGAGTAATACTGTATTGTATAAAAATACCACATCTTTTTTTATCCATTCCTCAGTGGATGGGCATTTGGGTTGTTTCCAAGATTTTGCTATGACAAATTGTGTTGCTGTAAACATGGGTGCACATATATCGCTGTGGTATGATGTTTTTAATTTTTCTGGGAAAATACCTAGTAGAAGGGGAATAGCTGGATTAAGTGGGACTTCTAATCCTAATTTTTTGAGGAATCTCCAGACTGATTTCCAAAGTGGGTGTATCAGTCTACATTGCCACCAACAGTAAAAAAAGGGTTCCTTTTTCTGTACAGCCTTGCCAGCATTTGTTGTTGGCTGATTTCTTGATCATAGCCATTTTTATTGGGGTGAGATGGAATCTCAATATTGTTTTAATTTGTATCTCTCGAATGACCAAGGATGTTGAACATTTTTTTCATGTATTTATTTGCCATTTGTATTTCTTCATCTGAGAAGTGCATATTCATCTCAGATGCCCATTTTTAGATTGGGTCTTTGAATTTGGGGGGCTGATTTTTTTCAATTCTTTATATGTTATACATACAAGTCCTTTGTCTCAGGGACAGTTAGCTAAAATGTTTTCCCACTCTGTGGGTTGTCTTTTTGCTTTATTGGTGATTTCTCTTGAAATACAAAAGCTTTTTAATAAGATGAGATCCCAGTTGTTGATTCTTTGAAGTGTTTCCCATGCAGTTTGGGTTTTGTCCATGAAGACCATGCCTACTCCTTTGTCTTCAAGATTTTGATCTACTTTCTCTTCCAGTAGATTTAGTGCTTCTGCTTTAATATTTAGATCTTTGATCCATTTTGACTTTAGTTTAGTGCATGGTGATAGACATGGGTCTAGCTTTAGTCTTCAGCATGTAGAGAGCCAGTTTTTCCAGCACCATTTATTAAAGAGGCTTTCTTTTTTCCAGTGAACATGTTTGGCCCCTTTTTCAGAGATAATGTGGCTGAGTGTGTTTGTAGTTATGCCCACATCTTCTAAGCTGTTCCACTGGTCCTTCAGTCTATTTTTTTTGCCAGTACCATGCTGATTTTATCACAGTAGCTTTATAGTATCATTTCAAGTCAGGGATTGTGATGCCTCCTGACTTGTCTTGGTTGCCCAAAATTGTCTTTGCTATTCTAGGTCTCTTCTGGTTCCAGATGAATTTTAGGAGTGTTTTCTCTAGTTCTGTGAGGTATGCTAATGGTATTTTGATCAGGATTGCATTAAATCTGTATAACAATTTTGGAAGTATGGTCATTTCTACTATGTTCGTCCTTCCTATCCATGTGCAAGGGATATCTTCCCATTTTCTGATGTCCTCTTTAATCTTTCATAGTACTGTAATTTTCAATATATAAATCTTTTACTTACTTTGTTAGATTGATTCCTAAGTATTTCATTTTGGGCGATGCTATCATAAAGGGTGTGGTTTCTCTAATTTCTCTCTCAATAAGTTTATTGTTTGTATACAAGAATGCTATTGATTTTTGAGTACTGACCCTGTATCCAGCCACACAACTGAATTTGGTTATTAACTCAAGGAGTCTCTTGGTGCAGTTTTTGGGGTCTTCTATATGGAGTATCATGTCATCTTTGAATAATGATAATTTCACTTCTTCCTTTCCTATCCTTAATCCTTTTATTTCTCTCTCTTGTCTAATTGCTCTGGCTAGTGTTTCCAGAACTATGTTGGAAAGGAGTGGTGATAGTGGACGTCCTTGTCTTGTTCCTGATTTTAGAATGAAAACTTTCAGTTTTTGTCCATTTAGTATGATGTTGGCTGTTGGTTTGTCATAGATGGTTTTTATCAGACTGAGATAAAGACCATCTATTCCAATTTTCTATAGGTTTTTACCATAAATGAGTGCTGGACTTTATCAAAAGCTTTCTCTGCATCTATTGAGATGATCATGTGATTTTAATCTCTGGCTCTATTGATATAGTGTATTACATTTATTGATTTGCATATGTTGAAGCATCCCTGCGTTCCTGGGATAAACCCCACCTGGTCATGGTGTATAATCTTCTTGATGATTTGTTGAATTGTGCTTGCTAGTATCTTATTGAGGATTTTTGCATCTATGTTCATTAGGGAGATTGGCCTGTAGTTCTCTTTTTTGGTTGTATCTTTCTCTGGTTTTGGTATCAGGATAATACTTGCCTCCAGGAAAGAGTTAGGGAGTATTGCGTCCCTTTCAATGTCATTAA